GGTGCGGCGCGAGCTCAAGCAGTTCCTGGGTTGGCTCAAGAAGCACGCGTACTGCTCGAACCTTAGCTTCCGCCTCTACGACCAGTGGCGAGCCTGGATGCAGAAGTCGCACAAGACCCGCAACCAGGTAGGAAGGAGGGACCAGCGGGCACGGAGGTGGGCGGGAGGAGGGCGGAGGATGGAGGCTGGGAGCTGCGAGGACCGGCCGGAGAGGAAGGCGGAAGGAGAGGGAGCGGGCTGGGGGCCAGGTCTGCAGCACCCGCCACGACACTGGTGTCTTCTTTCCAAGCACAGGACGAGGGGATCCTGCCCTCGGGCAGACGGGGCGCGGCGAGAGGTAAGGTGGGCCCGGGTGGGTGGGAGTATTTGGGGTGACTGTGAGCCTTGCCCAGCACACTCAACCTGAGTCGCCCAAATGGAATCCTTCCTCCTCCTCTTACTCATCTGCATTTACTTAGCACTTACTGGGTGCCTGGCGGGTAATGTTGCAGGTGGAATCTCATCCTCAGGAATGAACATACTCACCCTAGTTAACACGAATGAGCTTCTACTGCATGCCGGGCTCTGCCAAGGGTTTTACTGGCAGGATAGCCCAGAGGATGATCAGTTCCACTTCTCTGATGGGGAAACAGGAACAGAGAGGTGCAATATCCTGCCCAAGGACACACAGCTAGTGGGAGCAGACAGGACCTGAAGGCTGACCCTGCCCAGGCTGCCTGTCTCACCTGGCTTCCCTTTTGCCTGCAGGTCCTGCCAGATAAACTCTAGGGATGGGGCTACCTTCCTGGCCAAGTGGAGACCCAGAGGCTGAACTCAAACTGGGGCCACCTTTGTACTCTCACCTTAGGGCACCTGAGCACCATCAGCAGGAGCTGGGGCAGGTGCTCTGAGCTTGGACAGCTCTGGCCCCCATGTCAGGCCACCCTTGAGTGCACCTCCGGTGTTATGTTGGGACATGAGCTGGTTGAACTACCCAGAACCCCTACAGGGCTGGGAGTAAAGAGAAGTCATTACTTTTGCCCCCCAATAACCCTCCAAAAGAATATTTTAAAATAAATGAGCTATTTAGGTGCTCTGATTGTGAAGGTGAGTTTGAAGCCTGGGAGTGGGGGCTGTGGGTTTTGGGGAGATCTGAGAGGCATCCTAATGACCCTTCGGTCACTAGAAGCCTCCCCTACTAGAAGCCCCACCTCCCAGAATTTCAGACACTTTCTCTAGGATCCACAATCTCTAGTTCTGAGCTCCTCAAGGGTGTGATTCAAAACACCAGTTTCAAGTGGGGTGTGGGGACTATAGTCCCAGTTACTCAGGAGGCTGAGGCAGGAGGATTGCTTAACCTGACAAGCTCAAGACCAGCAGGATCACATCTCAAAAAACAAAACACCAGTTCTGGGGCAGGGTGAGAGTTTTCCCCCAGCCCTCTCTGGCCTGGGGAACCCCTTCCCCAGACACAGGGACCCCAGTACTGCAGGACACAGAGATGGCAGAGGAAGGACTCTTTATTGTGAGGAACTGGAGCAGGGTCTGCAGCTCCAGAGGAGCATGACCTCAGCCAGGTGGTCAGGGTTGGGCTGGACGCCATTGGTCTCCTTTCCCATCTCCTCTGAACATCTCTGGAGAGCCACGGTCACTCGGCAGATTCCGCATCAAACCTGAGGTCCTGGAGAACCTCACTGATGGCCTCCATGGTTTTAATTACCCTACAAGAACGGATGGAAACTATAAATAAGACCCAGATGGGGCGGATTAGCCGGCACCGCGCAACTAGCTCGGAGGGGGCTGTGGCAAGCCCTGGGCCCTCCTGCCCGCCGCCAAACTTCCAGGCAGCACTAGCCTGGGAGGGGGCCTGAAGAGGGATGGCTCCTTGGGTCAGAGTGGGCCGTCTTGGGGGAGAAGCATGCATGCCATCAAGAGGTTACAGAGTGACAGCTTGGCAAATGTCTAGCATGTGTGCATGAGACCATGTGTTTGGAAGTCAGGGACAATGTGCAGATGTGCAGGACACAGTGGCAAGTAGGGAATTATTCCCAGCAAGTAGGGAAGCTAAGGCGGGAAGATCAAAAGTTCAAGTCCAGCCTTGGCAAATTAAAAACATTAAAAAAAATTAAAATATTAAAAAACAAAAACATTCAAAAAAAATAGAAAGGGCAGGGGGTGTAGAGCAGTGGTAAGGCTCCCTAGGGTTGTTCCCTAGTGCCACCCCATCCCCCACCAAAAAAAGATAAAAGGAGCGTGCAGGCATGTGCCAGTGGAGCATGGGGGCCTACGTCCAAGCTCTTGGTGCAGGTCGGTGTGTGCTGAGACAGGCAGCTGTGTCTTGGCAATGCTCAGGGTGCCTCTAATGTGAAGTCACAGGGTATGTATTCCATGGAATGGGTACATCTGGGGCCACCAGGTTAGGACACTGGTATAAATACCAAAGGTTGAATAGGGATCCAGAGAGGCTGCTCAACTGGCCAGATGTGACTGGGCCAGCCTGAGGAAACAGCAGGCTAGGGCGGGGCCTGAGGGTGCCAGCAAAATGGGCATGGGCAGCCCAGTGGGCAGCAAAGCTCACTTCATCTTCAGCTGCTGCATCTGTTCAGTGTCCTCCTGCCCAGTCAGTTCTGGTGTCCCCATCAGCTGCAGCAGAGCCACCTGGTGGGAGAATGGACAGTGGGGAGGGTGTCACAGAAAGCAGAAACTACTCTGTCCTCCCCTGCTACTTAAAAATAATAAAGATTAGATATTAAAGACACTGCAGCCGGGTGCGGTGGCGCACGCCTGTAATTCCAGCGGCATGGAGGCTGAGGCAGGAGGATCATGAGTTCAAAGATAGCCTCAGCAAATTAGTGAGGCCCTAAGCAACTCAGCGAAACCCTGTCTCTAAAATTAAAAAAAAAGGGGGGGGGAGGGTGCTGGGGCTCAGTGGTAAGCACCTCTGGGTTCAATCCTGGTACCCCCTCCCCCCAAAAAGCTGCAGGGTAGGGCCATGAGGGATGGAGCTTTGTGTGTGAAGAGTCCAGCGTTTCTCCAGAGTCTGTCGGAAAAAAGGAGTCCGAACTTGAAATGGACTTGGTCATGTGTGGGTGTGGCTTGTGTAGCGGGCGGGGCATCAGAGTCCCAAAAGCAGGATGGGGTTATGACCCATGGGTGGGAGTAGGTCGAAAATACTGGGGTCTGGAGGGGAAATTTCTTGTGCAATATGGGCGTGGCTACACGTGGATGTAGCCCTCTCGGCCAGGATTGGCTGCAGAAGTGGGCGGGGCCTGAAAACTAGTAGGTAGAGAGGAATACTGGGGTGGGTGTGGCCTGGGAAACCCTGCTCTCCAGGGAAGTAGTTGAGGGTGGGACCTCAGGCAATGAAAAAGCCAGAGCGGATGCAGTCAGGCAGTGTCCCCACTTCTAGGAACAGCGTTTAAGCGGGGCTGGAGTAAAGTGAGCACGTCCTGAACTAAGAACAAAACCTGGAATAAAACTGGGGTTGGGTAAGAGGCAACGGAGAATCTCTCAGTGAAGACTTAGGGAGTTTTGAGGTGTGGCAGGAAGGGGTGGGGCCTGGGACTCCCAGAAAAGAGTGTGGGACAGGGACTGAGGCCTTTCCCTAAGGGGCGGTAATGAGCACAGCAGGCCAGTGACAGACACAGCGTCGGAAGGAGGTCGTGGTCTCACCGTGGCCAGGCGCGTCTGCTCCAGCTGTTGCAGGCTGCGCACGTGGCCCGCGAGCAGGGGCTGCGCGCGAGGTCCAGCCAGCTCTGCCTCCACCGCCAGCACCTCCCGCGAGGCGGCAGCGAAGGCCTGGGTCACTTCGTGCACTGTGTTCCGGTAGCCAGGGAAGTCGTAGTGCGGGCCGCTCCGCAGGTACTGGCGGTGGCCTCTGAAGCAGGTGAGGATGTGAGTACGCGCTCCCTGGCCAGGCACCCGCACCAACCCGCAGGGGGCGTACCCGCACCCCAGAGACTGGACGACCGACTGTAAAGACGCTTCCTGACTCTAGCAAGGGAAGAGGGGACCGCTCTCCGGGTCCTTAAGAGTTTAAATTAGTTACGAACTGATCCTTCTTCAAACTCCGTCCCACTTCTAATAGGGCAGCCTCGTGTGGACCCAGCTCTGCCTCCGGGCACTCCCGCCACTGACATACCCATACCCGAACTGGGCCCGGGACTGAACCCTGCGCGCCCGGCGCGGCCCCACGCCCGCACTCACTCCTCCAGTTTGCGGAAACCCTGCGCGCGCTCATCCTGCAGCTGGTGGATTCGCTGCACCAGCGTCCGGATCGGGGCATCTTTCTGCGGGGCGGGGGGGCAAGTTTGGGGCATGAAGCCGGCGCTCTGGGCCTGCACCGCCCACCCCACGCCGGTCCTCGCTCGAGCCGCGACTCACCCAGGGCCACACCGGCTCCGCGAGTGCCCCAGCTCCGGTGGCATCTGCAACGTCAAGCACCGCGGGAACGGCGTTCTCCGCTGCCGCCCCAGTAGTGATCATGACTGTGCAGTCGGGGCCACGCCAAGACAGGCCGCTCCATTGTGCCTGGCGCCCCCTGCAGGTCCGGAGGTCAAGGGACTCCGATTCTGCAAGGGGCCAAGCCGAAGACAGCAGGCCCCAATCTTCATTTGTTAATTCCTGCCTGGCGCCCACCTGGTTTGTCCTTACTGGAACCCGGTACTCTAAATACTGTAAGGATATTAGCTCAGGTTTTTGCATACACCTTTCTTGTCCAATAACATCCGGGCCCACTGAGATGATTTACTGGCAGGTACTTGGTAAGTGTCCAAAAAGTGCTGAATTAGGGGTCCTATGCAAAGGCCCTGAGGTGGGAGCCTTAGGCAAGAACAGGGATAGCAAAGCATTTTAAGTGCTGAGGTGGTTTTGGAACTTTCCAAGGAGAAATGGGCCAAGTGTGGCAGCCCACACCCGTGATCCCACTAACTCTAGAGGCAGACATGAGGATCACAAATTTGAGGTTAGCCTCAGCAACTTAGTGAGGACCCTGGCTCAAAATAATAGATCTGGGACTCTGGAGGATGGGCCATAGCAGATGGTGATGACCTAGACCAGGGAGGGGCAGTCAACAAGGTGGCAACTGGACTAGCTGAAGAATGGGGTGACTTAAGACTGTAGCCCTTAGATGGCATTGCAGGAGAGGGAGTCATTGGCATGTCTGACATAACTACATTGAGTCCCAATCAAAATTTAAGGTAGGCTGTGTGGGTGCAGCTCAGCGGCAAAGCACTTGTCTAGTGCACATGAGGCCCTGTCCACCCCCAGCAAAACCAACCTTGAGGAATGACTGGTCTCACATGTGCTAATAATTTTCACTCAAAACTAAGAAGCATTTACTATCAGTAAATGGTCTACCTACCTGTCTACTCATCCACACCTGGACACCTCCAAATGTCAGCTAGATCCCAGGCAATGACACAGCAGACCTTGGTCCCCACCAGGTCCTAATTTCCATGTTAGATGACAAAGCACATGTTTAGCAGAGCCCTAATTGAAACCTGCTGTATGTGCAGGACAGAAACCACCAAATTCTTTTAGTCTCCAGAAGGATAAGAGGATCCAAAGGCAACAGAGAGTCAAAGGAGATAGGCCACTCTTCAGCCACCTCCCTGGACAAAACAGTCACATGGACACCAGTTACTGCTCCAGTCAATGTAAGGGAAATTTTATTGAGGTCCCAAGGCCATACATGGGGCTTGGGCAGGAGGCCACTCCTTGGGGAAAGGAGCCAGTGGAGGGGCTTTATTTGACCTTCTTCTTGGGGCGAAGGTTGTTGGTGTGGCCACACTTCTTCTTGCGGCAGTTCACAGCACGGGGGTGCAGGCGGGCATAACACCTGTGTAAGGGACAGGAGCGGCTAATGAGGGCCCACCCTACCCCTTATTCCTGCCACCCCACCCAAGCATCTGAGCACACATACTTGCGACAGATCATCTTGTCACAGTTGTACTTCTGGGCAAGCTGGCGCAGAGAAGGCTCAATGATGCCACCTCGCAGGCGAAGCACCAAGTGCAGGGTGGACTCTGCAGGAGACAAGAGGACATCAGCTGAGCCCAGTCCTAGCACCTCAGTCACTGAGCAAGGCTTTCTGTCACCTGGTAGACTGGTGCTTCTCATATTAGGTAATGAGAACTCCAAGCAGGATCCCAAGTGGTCTATGTGTAGATGGACACAAAGGGCTGGCCGGACCTGCCCACAGACATTCCATGGAGAATCATCCGGCAACTCTAATGTTTAAACATTATAACTACCACAGTGAAGAGGCATTAAATTTCTTCTTCTTTTTTGGCCTCGTGCATGCCAGGCAAACGCTCTACCTCTGAGCCACAACCCCAGCCTCCTCTTCTTCTTTTTTTAATATTTATTTTTTTAGAAGAAGTTGGACACAATACCTATGTTTAGTTATTTTTATGTGGTGCTGAGGATGGAACCCAGGGTTTCACACGTGCTAAACAAGTGCTCTACCACTGAGCCACAATCCCAGCCCCGAGACACTAATTTTCTTTATAACAGTAATAAAAATTTCCCTAATTACTTTTTTTTGGGGGATGGGGGTGCTGGGGACAGAATCCAGGGCCTCCTGCACTCCTGTATGCTATCTACCACACAATCCCAGTTCCGGTGCTCATTTTTTCTTTTTTTCCCCCCCTTTTTCATTTTTAGTGATGGAATCCAGGAGGACTCTACCACTGAGCTACAACCTTAACCCTCCACCCTTTTTTAACATATTTAATTTTGAGATAGGGCTTATACTTGCCCAGGCTAACTTAGAGCATCAACACTCCTGCCTCAGCCTCTGGAGTACCTGGCACTGTACTGACCCTCGTCTTAACAACTGCCTCCCTCTGTAGTGCCACTGAGTCCACTAATGCTCTGTCCAGGGACTGAGGGCTCATGGAGCCTGGTCTAGCAGCCCCACCCCAGTACCTTTCTGGATGTTGTAATCTGAGAGAGTGCGGCCATCCTCCAGCTGTTTGCCTGCAAATATCAGACGCTGCTGATCAGGTGGGATGCCTGGAAAAAGAAGGAAGCTCAATTACTAAAATTATCCACACTTTACTAGCGGGCCCTCCCCTGCAGGGGTGCTCTAGTACCAATCCCAATCTTTCAAAAGGACAACTGAGTTAAAGATGAAGCTTTCTTTCCAAGGGATCACAGGGAAACACTGGCAAACCTGGGGTCTGTCCAAATCCAGCACCTAGCTCACAGGACAGAGTCCCCACTGACTCAGCCCAACTCACCCTCCTTGTCTTGAATTTTGGCTTTGACATTCTCGATGGTGTCACTGGGCTCAACCTCGAGGGTGATGGTCTTGCCCGTCAGGGTCTTCACAAAGATCTGCATCTCTGCGTCTGCTGGAAAGCAGAATGGAGTGGTGAGCAAAGCAGGCCTGACAGCCCTCCTGTACCTGCACTGACCACAATTTCAGGCCTGTGCCTTGCGCTTGTCTTCCATCTACCCTGGCCTTTCTGGGCTTATCTTCTCACACACTCTGGTTTTTAGCCTAAACCTGTCCTGTACCAAGGGACCAATTCCTCCGCCCTACTCCTGGATACCATGCCCTCCCCCACAACCCCAGGTCCTGGGGATGTTATCCAGGCTTTGCACATGCTGGGAAAGTGCTCTACCACTAAGCTATACCCACAAGCCTGCAGGAGTGTCCTTCAAGTTGGGCAGAGGAGGTATCTCCTTCAGTGTTTGCTGATATGCATGACAAGTACCCAGAGGCATTCTCTTTGCCAGGCATATCTTCCCTGAGGATGGTGCCATCCTCCCCTGTTGACAAGTTCCTGGACTGTCCTACAGGTTTCCCTTACTACCTACACGGGAATGTCATCCCAGTAGCCATCTCTCCAACATACCACACACCCCTTCTCCTTTCTTAACATAAAGATGAGATGTCCAACACTCTTGGCTTCCTTCTCAGACCTAAACTCCCCAGATCTCATTTACTGCCTTTGCTCCAACCCATAAGCAATAATGTCGAGGACTGGGGATGGAGTTCAGCAGCAGATGGCTTGCCTAACAAGCGCGAGGCCCAGGGTTCCATCCCCAGTAGCACCAAAAACACAACAAAAGCTACCACTTATTATCTGCCAAACACGTGCCAGGTATCTGTTTAGATAACGCTTCACATTAAAAGGAAATTTAGGAAACAGTCTAGAAAATTAACGATTATTGACGTAGAGTGAGGTACGAGCACCCAACCTGAGAAATCCAATCCTTTCCAAAGGCCCGGCGCACAACACAGCAGCGCCACCGCCTACTGCCCCTTCGCTATCCACCCGGGGCCATCCAGGAGGCTCCATTCCCGCCTCGAGGGATCGCTCGGGCTCCTCCCCGGAGCCCCGTCCGCCTCGGGGAGCCCCGTCCCAGCTGGGAGCCTGGGCTCACGTGCCCGTTCGCCACCCCCGGGGCTGCCCCCCCCAGCGAGCTCGGGGTCTCCCTCTTCGCCTCCCGAGACCTCGCCCACCACCCGCAAGCCGCCCCGCCCCAACCCGCACGACCTCGGCCACCGACCCGCTCTGGAGCCTCGTTGAAGAAAAAGAGGGCGGCGGAACCGGAAACCGCCGATTCGCCGCCGAGAGCGCCTGCGCACCGAGCACGCCGCGCGTCTGCGTCACAATCCGCGTCTCGCATCGGGTGCCGCCCCAGGCCCCGCCCCGGCACCATGTTGGGTACTGGCGAACGAAGCCGCGGCGCACGTGGGCCAGCGTCGCTCACCCTCTTCCGGGTGTGGGCGGCGCCCGTCGAGTCACGTGACGATGGTCGCGCCCCTCCAGGTGTTTTAGCGCAGTCTCCGGCTCCCCGACGTTACCTGGCGCTTGGCCGATGCTCCGGGAATGCTTGTTGAATAGAGCAGAGGAGAGACTTTTCTGCTAAAGTAAAGGCGTCACGCAGAGAGTGTGCAGGGTGCAGGGGTTGAAATGGAGAAGGTGGAAGTCGCAGGAGACCCATGGGAGCCACCGCAGACACTCAACACCCGGAACCTGTTGCTGGAAAACTCTGGCCGCTGTGCACGGACGGACTTAAGGGCAGAGTCTATGGGAGCAGGGAAAGCTGGTGAGACTAGTGCCTTCTCCAGGAAAAGGTAGTAGGGTCTGGCGAAAAGTGCCCGGTGGGACCCGGCGTGTTCTGGACTGGGACTGAAACTTGCGGATGGCACCGGACCAGGGAAAAGGGAGGACTGAGAAGTTACGTGCGAGTTTGTCAACGTGCTTCGTTATTCCTGGGAACATTTCTAGTGTCTACTGCGTGTCACGCAGAGGCAGAGAAGCTTTCATACCTGGGAAGGTGCCTTTTCTTGGGGACAATGTGTTGCTGTTTGCTGCCCAGATTGATCTCAAACTTGTGGGCTCAAGCCATCCTCCTGCCTCAGCCTCTACCTCAACCAGCAGATTCCTTTAACATAAATTCTAAGAGCTCCGAAGGTGAGGCAACTTTGGGAGAGTCTAACGGGGAATGGGGTCCAATCTGGCTGCCTGCCCCCCCACACACAGTGCAATCTAGAGGTGTTGTTCAAGGGGGTAAGGGAAGTGTTAGTGTTGGTAGCAGTGCCAGCAGGTGTGACAACCTGGGAAGTGCAAACCTGGGTTGTTAGGACTGCCACCACCGGGACCTCCACGAAGAACAGCCCCATCTTTCTTGTGTGTGTGTGTGTGTGTGTGTGTGTGTTTTACTAGGATTTAACCCGAGAGAGCTCTGCTGCCAGCTACAGCGCCCCCTCCTTTTTTTAAGACAGATCCTACTAAGTTGCTGAGGCTGGCCTGGGACCTGCGATCCTCTTGCCTCAGCTTTCCAAGTTGCTGGGATTGCAGGCTCAGCCATGCAGCCTAGTGGTCAGTCCCATCTCTTTCCAGGTCAGTGGTGTGTGCTTGTCTGCAGACCTTGACAAAAGGACTCCATGTCCTCCATCCAGCATGTGTCCACTTTCTCAGCCACTAGACCCAAGGAGGGAAAGAAGCCAGGGAGATGTGCTCTTCCCTTTTTAGCAACAGAGTCTTTTTATTGATAACTTCCCAACAGCATCTGTAAACATCGGGTACAAAAATATTCCACTAAACTGTTTTCCAAGGTGGTGTGGCTTGCTCCAGGAAACCCAGGATATGCCTACGGGGCCTCTGAGGTCCACACCTCTATTCAAACACAGGCCTCACAGGCCTAGGGCTGAGTGGCCATCCAGCCTCCATCTCTAACTTCCTTCTCTGTGTCAGAAACCTCCTGGAGACACTAACTGGAGAAAGTACTCAGTACTTCAGACTGAAGAAGGGGCAGGGAAACCAGAATTAGTGGGTGCAGGGTGAGAGGACGATGTGACGATCTTGTCCACCTCCAGGAGGTCCTAGCCAGGGGAGCAGACCTGAGGCCTGGCTCTGAAAACATCCCTTGTGCCCAGCCCCACCACTCCAGCTGGGATGGCTGTGCCCTGGCATGAGGTTATGTTCCCAGGAGAAGGAGCAGGAAATTAGAGACCCCAGGAACTCCACAGCCCCGGGAGGGAGCCCTGGATGACAGAACAGGGTGGCAAAGGTGAAGATGGTGAGGCAGGGTTACCCACTGCCACCTCAGACACCTGGGGATGGCTACTGCTGCCCAAGACCTCTGGGTGCCTGGAGCAGGGCTACTCTCCTGGCCTCCCCTCATCATCCGTCTGGCTGTGGCCGTTGACAGTGGGAGAGCCAGGCTGCATGTGGGACAGGTCTTCGAAGCCAGGGCTGAGGGAGGGCGAGACAGTATCAGGGCTGGTGTCGCATGAGCCTGTACTCTGCTCCGAGGTGGCAATGGTGGTGGTGACACTGGGCGGGATGGGGTCCTCATCTTCATCCTCCAGGAGGGAAGCCTCTGGGATGTCTGAGGAAGGAGGCCCAGGAGTTGCTCTGCTGCCTTGTCAAACACTCAGATGGGGAACTTTGTGTGTGTGACCTGACAGGTTCCCGGCCCTGTGGGTACATGACTTAGCCCATTTTACTGAGGAAGAGGAAGAAACCAAGGCCCAGCAGGTAAGAAGAATCCCTCCCACACGAAGTGATGTCGGGATGCTGCCTCAGCCTCCTAGGTTAGGCTGGGTGACCTGGCTCTGTCCTTCCTCACCCCCACTACATCACCTGGCCCAGCACCCCTCCTGTCCACCCTGCTCTGTAAACTCGGAATTTATGTCCATGGTAGTCGGCAGCTTTGGGATGAAGAGCTAGCTATTGGCCCATTAAGCAGATGGGGTAAACCAAAGCTCAGCAACAGGGAACCCTCTGAGGTGCTGGCGACACAGAATGGTGGCCCAGAGCCACTAGGGCTGTCACTAGACAGATGTGAACTTGGTTCCTTCCCCCTCCCTTTTCAGCTGCACTTCCTCCCACAATCGTGCTTCTCTGGGCGTCAGTTTCCCCCACTGAAATCAGGATATTCATAGTTTCCCGTCACAGGTGGTTGTGGGTGGAGTTTGGCTCATGGTAGTACATGGACAAGGACAAGGAGACTGCATCCCACCAGCACCCTGCCCTTGCCCCCCACCCCCATCTCTCTGGACCCTCCACCCACCAGGGCCTGGGCTGCATGTCAGCTGGCTTCGGGAAGCCAGCTCTGAGTGGAGGAAGCTGGCATGCTCGGGCTCACTAGCCTGGGTGACACTTACGGCTGAAGGCCTCCGGGTGCTGCCTGGCCAGTTTCCCCTTCAGGGTCCTGCAGGGAAGCAAAGGCACAGGGGCTGAACCTGCTGATCAGATGGGCTGGGACTGGCACTGGCTAGGGAGCCCTTGCTGGGTGGGCAGCAGGAACCTGGCCCTCACCATTCACCAAGCCTCCCTCTCTCTGCTCCACGCTCAGCCCAACACGCCTGGGAACACCTGGGCACGTGCACCCTGGGGTCTGGTCCCTGAGCCCAGGCAGAGGGGCCCTCTCCCTGCAGTGCCCCCTTATGTTAGCCTCCTCTACCTTTGGACAAAATGAAGCTTAGAGAATTTTTTTTTTTTAACTGGTGGTTTTGTGGGTGGGTTTGTTTGTTTGGGGGATGGGGATTGAACCCAGGGCCTTGTGCATGTGAGGCAAGGCAAGCCCTCTACCAACTGAGCTATATCCCCAGCCCCTAGCTGGTTCTTCTTTTTCCTAAAGTACCACAGCTGTGTTTGCAGAGAATGGAAAGGAGGTTTTCAAAGCAGGTGGTTATCTTTGTGGCCTTATAAGTACCACTACTGTTGATGGTTCCAGGCCAGGTGGCAACCCCTCTTCTCCTTCTTGGGTGACGGGGACACATAGCCGTGGTTATCAACCCTCAAGATCCCTGCTCCCCCTACCCCAAACCATCTGGGCAGTAAACCTGATATGAAGCCCTAGAAAACATGTGCTGTTATAAATTATAATAAGATTAAAAAGGGCTGGGGCTGGCAGGTGCACGCCTGTAATCCCAGCAGCTCAGGAACCTGAGGCAGAAGGATTGTGAATTCAATGCCAGCCTCAACAAAAGCAAGGCACTAAGCAACTCAGTGAGACCCTGTCTCTAAATAAAAAGGGCTGGGATGTGGCTCAGTGGTTGAGTGCCTCTGGGTTCAATCCTTGGAACCCAAACAAAACAAAAAGGGCTGGGGCTGGGCCCAGTGGCTCATGCCTGTAATCCCAGTGACTCAGGAGGCTGAGGTCAACCTCAGCAACTTAGTGAAGCCCTGTCTCAAAAAGGGCTGGGTGTAGAGCGCAGTAGGAGAACACCCGGGTTCAGTCTCCAGTACCAAACAGCAATAACAATTAAAACAGCAGAACCTCTCAGTTCCTGAGTTCGAATAGGAGCATTCCACAGAGGGGTCAAGCACACACCTGATCCTGCGGAAGATGCTGTCCAGGTCCCGCTTCATTTCCACCAGCGTCCTTGTGTGATGCAGGAAGCGCTCGCTCATCTGCTGCAGGCGGGCGCTGGACAGGTTGTTGAAATTCAGCAGCATCTCATTGGTCTTCTCAAAACGGTCCAGCCTGATGCAGAGAAAGGGCACAAGCTCTTTGCCCCGCCTCCAGGGCCCTTGCTGCCTGACCATGCTAAGGCCTTACTTGCTGTTTCTTTGGCCTGCCCAGTTAAAACTGCTGTTCAACCTTCAAAATCCTACTGAAGTGTACCCTTCTGTTGGGGTTTGGATCCTAAATGTCCCTGAAAGGGCATGTGCTAAAGGCCTGATCACCAGACTGTGGTGCTGCTGGAAGTGATGGAATGTTTACAAGGCAGAGCCTCGTGAAGGAAGTCAGGTCACCGGGGGAATGCCCTCAAAGGGGCTTTCAGGACCCTGGCACCTTCCTGTCATCTTTTTGCTACTTGGCCACAATGAAGTCAACAGGCCTACTCTCCTGTGCTTTTCCACAATGATATACTGTGCTGCCATAGGCCAGGGACCCATGCACTAAAACGTGATCAGAAATAAACCTTCCTCCTCTGAGTTGTTTATCTCAGGTATTTTGTCACAGTGATGGAAAGCTAAGACTTTCTCATCTCTCCCTTAAGCAGACTCCCCACTCCCCTTAGACTCCAGCAGCCCCAAGTTGTTCCTCTGGCCCTGACTCCATATCTGCTTCTGACCACCCCCAGTCCGGGAGTTCCCAGAGGTCAGGTGTGAATTTGCCCTCAAGAACTAGAAGTGAGATGAGTATTGCTGAGATTCTTCACCCAGGAGCCCAGGCACAGAGTGAGAAATGGCAGGAAATGAGGTCTGTGCTGGGTCATCAATGCAGTGTGGGAAAGCCTTTGGGTTAAGTCCAAAAGAAGCCACAGCCAGTTCCGTGGTACATGCCTGAAATACCAGGCCTAGGTAGGAGGATCACAAGTTCAAGGCCAGCCTCAGCAACTTAGCAAGACTCTAACCAATTTAATGAAACCCTATCTTAAAAAAAAATAAAAATAAAAGGGTTGGGGATGTAGCTCAGTGATAGAGTGTCCCTGGTTCAATCCCCAGTTACTAAAAGGAAAAAAAAATCCCTCCAGTTCTCCGACCCCTGCCAAGCCAGTCACAGCTGCAAGACCTTCTGAAAGTCCTGCTTCCTGTGCCAAGGCCTCGCCTCCAGGTCACAGAGGGACCGACTCTGGAGCCAGCAGGCAGATTTGCTCATTTCCTTCATTTTATCACCAGTGTAGGCCTGGAGTGGGGACTGGCCAGGAGTGCATTCCTTCCCCGCCTGGGGCCCTGCAGCCAACACTCACATGTTCTTCTGGGCCAGGATGATGGCATTGACGTCATCCGTGTTCACCATGCTCAGGATTCTGCTGCAGAAGACCCTCGAGGCCGAGTCCGGGGGGTCCATCTCTTCTTCCTCCTCCTCCACGGCCTGGCACAGGTAGGAAACCACAATCTGCGGTCTATGCCAGGCACCAGGGGCGTGGGCCCTAAGGTGGGACTGGGAACCTCATGGGTTGGGTTCTGACTCAACTATTGCCCGAGTCGGGATGAGCGTTGTGACTCAGCCATGCCAACTGAGCCTCAGGGTTATTATCCCAGAACGTGGAGTCTTGGGAACCAAAAGGGGTCCCATTTGTGAACAGCACCCAGCACCTTGGAATCCCCCACTCCCCAACTTTCAGGGCACCTGCTGTTCATTTGTCCAAGGCCCAGCCCTTTTTGGATCTGCCAGCCTCCTTCCTGACCCACTAGCAGAACACCTTGGCTGCCTGTCACATCACCACCTCCAGTGTCTCTTTTCCGAGAGGTCTTTGCTGACAACCCCACTTGGGTCACTCTTTTCTTTTTTTTCTTGCAGTATTAGAGATGGAACCCAGGGCCTTGCACATGCCAGGCAAGCGCTCTGCCACTGAGCTACATCCCTGTTTTGATTTTGAAACAGACCTTACTAAGTTGCCCAGCCTGTCCTCAATTTTGCAATCCTCCTGCCTCAGCCTCCCAGGTCACTGGGATTAGTTGTGCTACCATACCCAGCTTGGGTCACTCTTATATTTCACTGCTTCAGTGAAATTATCCTTTCTGAAATTACCAGAGTTCCCAGTTGACCCGTTTGCCTACAGCTCCCTCTATACCAATGTTAGCTCCAAGAGAGAGCTGTGTCACCCAGGCCCAGAACCTGGCAAGGGAGTGTCAGAGCTTTGTTTTGGACAGGCAAACAGAATTTTGGAAACTCAGCTCTGACACTAGACTTTTATGAGCAGATGAAAGCCAAGAATTTCAGGCATTCACAGCCCGGCAGTGGCCACAGCAACCCAGATGGCTCTGCAGCTCCCAGACTGCCTGGCATTCAAGGACCTTCCCTACCTAGAGGGAGGGGGCTTTCAGGCCATGTAGAAGGGGGGACAGAACTGACCCTTCTGAGGGACTTGGGAAAAATCTAGAACCTTGAGATAGCTTGACTTTTTGGACCACACATTTGAAGACCAACAGAGCCAGGCGTGGTGGTGCATGCCTGTAACACCCATTACTGTGGAGGCTGAGGCAGGAGGATCCCAAGTTCAAGACAAGCTTTGGGAACTTGGTGAAACCCTTTCTCAAAAAATATGTTCCTGGGCTAGGGATGTGGCTCAAGTGGTAGTGCGTGGAGCGCTGGGTTCGATCCTCAGCACCACATACAAATAAATAAAGATGTTGTGTCCACTGGAGGAAAAAAAAAAAAATTCCTCTGGCCCTGACTCCATGGGGCCAGAAGGGCCAGTATCTGCTTCTGACCACCCTCAGTCTGGGAGTTCTATGTTCTATGGGTGTAGCTCAGTTGTAGTGCCCCTGAGTTCAATCCTCAGTACCAACTGATAAAATAATAATAATAAAGAACAACAGAAGGTTTACTTCTGATTGGTTAATTGTCACACATAGGAGCTATGGGTATGGCTCAATGGTAGAGTGCTTGCCTAGCACACAGAAGGCTCTAGGCTCTATCCCCAGAATCTCAAAAAGGGGGAAAAAATTTACACAGGATCAGCAAAATGTTTGAATCCATTTAATCTCCCTTCCCATTTCATTATTTATTTTTGGTGCTGGAGACTGAATACAGGTCCTTACACATGGTAGGGAAATCCTCTACCACTGAACTACAGCTCAGCTTTTTACTTTGAAACAGGATCTCACTAAATTGCCCAGGTTGACCTCAAACTTGTGATCCTCTCGTCTCAGCCTCCAGAGTCACTGGGATCACAGGCTAAGCCACCATGTGTGGCTACCTTCCAATTTACTGAGCAGTTACTATATCCTAAGGCACCAAGCTCAAATACTTGGAACTATTATCATCTTTATTTACAGATGAGAAAACTGAGGCTCAGAGAGACTAAGGAACTGGGCCATGGTCACACAGCCAGTGAACCTGAGCCCTAGCTCAAATGCACAGTCTGCAGATTCCACAAAGGTGGGAATCTGAACAGGAGGTCAGTATCCACCTGCTACAAAAAGGCTGCCTCTTAAAAAAAAAAAAAAAAAAAAAAAA